GTACACTTCATGTTACCATGCACTGCTACTGAAGGTTCATGATCTAAATGCATGGGGTACTCTGATGACTTGCTACTTACTAGCTAATATGTGTAGTGTACATGACTGTGCTTAGTACTTTCTCCCACAATGCACCAATGATTGACTGGATATAATATAAGCAATTTTTTTTTCTTGACTAGATGTGATATTTTCCCCAAACCAACAAAATATGCAATCCCGCCTCACAGTCGATTCTAATGGTTTTATTGGTCATGTAATTCACATTGTTAAACGCATACACAACAATGAAACAAGTCTGAACAGGTGACAGCTCTATTGAGTTGAACAATAAAATTAACTGTGGGATGGGGTTTTTGATTAACTGGTTAGGCAAAAAAAAAAAAAAAAAGGTCAGCCATATTGTGTCGTAATTTTTAATTTTGTTGTAAAATGCTTTGTTTCATCAACGCATTGACATATTGTGACGAATGTATCAGCATCATACCCTGAGAGTACATGAGAAGTTGACAAAGGATGTAGGCAAAATGTCACAAAATTGTAAAAAAAATATTTTAACCACCAGATTCCAACCATAACCGCATTAGATTCCTTGTGTAGCTACATACTTTTTCAAACTTCTCTTATAGATTTAGGTGAAATCATCTTCAGACCATGCTGGCCATATCAAGTTGAAACATCAAACCATTCTCATATAACGCATCAGTGAATTATAATGAAACATGAAAATGAAACAAATTATAGGCAGGAGAAGATACAGAAGATATGTATTTATTACTTTTGATTATGTTTTTTGAATTGTGCTGCAATATGGTTTGCAAAAGAATTCGTTTGAACTTTATTGCATGATTTATCTAAACTACAGGAATTTTGATATTAATCAAAAAAGGCATCATCTGTAGGTATTAAAGATAATTTTATTAGCACAATTACACAAAAAGGTGAACACTGGCGGTAAAGCCTAGACTTGCCATTGAATCTAGAACCTCAGGCAGTGTATGATGCCTCTGAAAAACTTCCTCAGAGAGCTCTATAATGCATGGATGTGTCCTCTAAACTGACTAATAGTCTGTGGCATCGTCTCTGTCCAGGGACTGGAAGGCTCTCTGCAGAGCAGGTGACCTTGCTTTCTCTGTCTTTGTGTCCTTCTGCCTTCCTTGCTGTTTATTTATCTTCCCATTCTCTTTGTGTATTATGTGTCACACTTGCTTCCTGAGTATCACTGTTTCTTGTTTTTCACCTTCAATTTATCACCCCATATCAATATTTGTGAGGTAGAGTCCAAATCAATTTTTGCACATTAGTGCTAGTCAATGGACAAGGCTAGTGGGTTAATGCCACACAAGGCCTTTAAATGCCAGGGGCCTTCTAAAACCTCAGGCTGCATGGCTCCAGACTGCAAAAGAAAACTTAACACTGGGGTCTTAGGTGCATACAGTCCGAGCTGATCATTGAAGCCTCCAGGCCATTCATGTGTACCGTATGAGATAACCACTGGGCCCTCTGCAACTTTTAAATGAGGGACCCTCAGAGAGTACAGTGTGAGCTGAACAACAGGGCCCCCAGGTGACTCCACAAGCACAATGCAAGCTTAACACCAGAACTGCATGTGGGTCAATAATAAATAATAGTGTATACAATAAAGAAAAAATCTTCTTAAAATCTAGTTTAAATTGGCTTTGAAATGTATATACTGTATGTATTGAAATTAAAAAAGAAAACTGAAAATGTGAAAATTGTTTTCATGTTGGTTTCACCTGGTTTTTAAAGAAACGTTTAAATATAATGACTTTAAATATCAAATGTTGTTCAACCATCAATTTAAAAGTATATATATATATATATATATATATATGCACACACATACATGACAGGTATGATATATCATACCTCAAAATATTATTTAAAAATCTAGACATCGTGAATTGAAAAGCACATAACCAACACATATTAGAAGTTCTAAATGAATAATTTCTCTAATAATCAAACCTTTCAGAGATGGTTATTGATCCGGGTTAGCAATATATTTTTCCTACTGGCGAAAGCTAGGATACCCAGTTTAATAGGATAAAGGTTTGTTTAAAAAAATAATTACATTTTTTGAGGAGTTGCACCATTGACATTTTACAACCTGAACTAACTGCTTGTCATAAAAGGCTCAAATTATAGACACAAGGGTCAAAGCAGGGTCCTCTCTATGATTTAATATGTGTGATTATATGTGTGTTATGTTTTCTGAAGGTTGGGCACACCACATGACTTTAATTTGATGTAAAAAATAATTATCTACTGCATACAGAACTGTTTAACATTAGCAGCTGCTACAAAGATAAAAATCTAAATACATGTTACCTTCCTCCTATACTGACTGTAATTCAGTTTTGGAAAAAAAAAAAAAAGCATCACACTCTTGTGCTTTTAAGCAGATCGAGCTGATGTATTTTTGATGCAGTCTCATGCTGGGCGTGGCTGGTCTTGGAGTGAGGCCACAGAAATGATATATCACATTCACACACATCCCGATTGGACACTCACTGCACAACACTGTCACCCCAGGAGCTGCATTGACTATAAAACAGTCAATAAAGCATGGGATAAGAGTGAGGGACAGAGAAAGAGAGGTTTCCTTATGCACTGCTGTTGAAATGCAGTAGATGTACATTCAGTAGATTATATTCACCGTAAGAAATCTGTGATTTAAGCAACACAGGAAATTGTATTGTGTTGCGTGGTAGCAGTACGTTTTGTAACACATCAGGAAAATTTTTTAACATCATGCGTATCAGTACAGGCTTGTGCAGATTGTATGTTTTCAACATATTCTGTAGGAGATTTGAGTGGTGTATATGCCTATATGTGTCACGGAAAAAACACGGATTCAATTTGCAGGTTCAACTCAAATTTATTTGAAACTCAAAACACAGAACTTGGCTGGGACTGCAGACCAGAAGCCGTAATTCAGGGCCGTGATTAGAGACAGGAAGAGGGGAACAGTCCAAACGAGCCTCCAGTCACTCCACGAGGCAGAGAGGGTAAGGCGTAGGGAGATCAGCGCACACAGTCCCAGCGTCAGTGCTGACGCAACGTCAGAGTAGCGAGAGAACAGCGCACAGGTTCCAAGCGTCGGTACTGACGCAACGTCAGGGCAGAGAGTTCCTTCTTGAGTGCGCCGAGAGGGGCAGGAGAGGAGAGGCTGCGAAGCGCGGTTCTGGTAATCACAGGGCAGGAACTGGGGAACAGAAAACTGGTGAAACGAGAGGCAGAGAGCGAGCGGAAAAGACAAACTGAAAACACTAAACTGTACTTGGAGCCTATGAAAACACGGCAGGACAAAACCACAACAAGACTGGTAGTAGATCACGAACAAAGAGTAGCGTGTTCACACCACAACGGTCAGAAACAAGACTACGAGGGGAACTTAAAAAGAGGGAGAATTAAGGAATTAACAAGTCACAGGTGTGACGGCAGCTAAAGTAGTTAATAAGATAACGATGGGGAGGGAAACCACGAAGACAATGAGCACATGGCGAAATGTCAAAACAGACAAAAAAACAACAACAACCTGCTGATCAGACCGAAGTCATGACAATATGCAATATGCCATGATTTTACAGTGTTCTTCATTGAACATTGCTAAGTGAGTGAAAATGAATAGCAATAAGCTACGTTTTTGAGGTATCCTTCATGACCATAGCACCAACATGTTGGAATTAATGGCGTACAAATGCTCAAATTAACTCAAATTAGGAGTTTGTTCAAACCCTAAGAATGAACAAGAGTAAAGGTGCAGACTGTGGCGAGAGGGTCGGGGCCATTTCCTCCCCCGGCCTCGCTCCGTTCCCACGGCTCTCGGCCCCGCCCCTCTCGTCACACAGACACACTACACTTTTTGTTCCATTGGCTCGTCTATTTCTACATTGTCTAGGAAATGGAAATAGGAAATGCAAGTTCATGTGAATTTTGGTGCATTCTGAAGTATACGTTTGTTGAACTCTGACCTTCAAATGTGCAAAAGTGAAGATGTCTGACCAATAGAAGATCGATATATCACGTCACCTCTAGGCAGAAATAAAAGAGCGAAAACTTTAAATCTGCAGGTTTGCAGCGTTTTGCAGCATATTTTTACATTTTAGATGTACTACAAACCATCCAGTATCCACAGAAATTTTGCACGCTCAAAGTCTAGTGTGACTGTGGCTTAATAGTGAAACACACACACTCACACACACACAAAACTACCTCTTATGTGCATCATAACACTGTCATTTGTGAAGACAAGCCTAATATATATCAGAGGTCAAACAAGTAGATGAACCTTTTTGCCAGACTCTCAAACAGCAAAGTAACTGATTTCCCATATGACATGTGAAAACCTTCCAAAGTAGGTTTTGGTTCCTCTAGCTCAAATCTGAGCTATTCATCAGACTTAGTGACATATGCTTCCAAAGAACTGTCCCAGGTGTTATTAAAATCATGGATCACTGCTGGCTAATTGGACCAGCAGCATCTATGAAATTCAATTTTGTTGAATTTAGTAATTTCATGTCCATAGGCATGTGTGTCTGTAGGAGCATTTAACAAATCATTTATGAGCACAGGTTATGTTTTATTTAGTTATGAATGAGCCAAGAGGTATGTGCAATTTATTTAGGTTGTTTCTGCTATGACAAGTCTTTAAAGGACTGCGTATTAAAATAACATGAGCCACAAAACGATGGGAGCTGAAGAATAACTTGTCAAACTCTGTTTAGATGCATTGATATTTTCCTAGAGCCAAACAACATGCACAATGACAGATGACAAAAAGGAAAAGTAAAAAAAAAAAAGAACCCTATTGATCTCTCCTATAACTTTCAGAAAACAAGATGTTATTGTAAATATGTACCAGGGGTGAATCTAGAAAATTATTATGCTCTCGTATGTTCAGATGGAGTAAGGAGTTGTGGGAGGTGTAGTCACATGGCTCTGGTCATGCTGAGTGTCACATGGTTTATGTTTGCAGTCACTTCAGAGAGCTGAGCAAACTTCTGTTACACACAGTTACGATGAAAGTGTTTGAGGCTTCCTTTGTGAAATACTGAAAACTACAGAGGGACACTAAATCATAGAGGGGCAGTGAAACTATGGAAATACCAGCAATAAATCTCAAGGTAATGTATTTATGTCTCATTATGTTTCATTCAGTATGTGTGTTGTACAGTGATATAAAAAAAATCCATTGCTAAATGATCCATCAAAACCTTAAAGATCAAAAGAAAAAGGTTGTTTTATTTAAAATATTTCTACACTTTTTATGATACAGGAAACATTACATTTGTTAAATAATTTAGCAGTAACTTAATTATCTATTACCTATTATCTATCTACCTATTATCCATTAAAGCAACTTTTTGTCAGTTTTGTTACATTATTTCCTCAGTTTTGCTTATTATTATAACCAGGAACCAATACAATTCTGAATGGATATAGTAGTGCTGTAAATACATTTATTTTATTCATTTTGGACAGAATCATTCTTTTGTATGGGCTCATATCCTCATCATTTTAGAAACGCATTGCATTTATTAAAGGTATTTGTATTTGTTCTGGGCACTGTGAACTTTAGAGATGCCCCAGATCATAGATATGTAAGCCCAAAAAGGCCCATGACTGAATGTTTACTGGGTTTGAGCCACCGCCTATGTCTAGGGAACAGATTTGTACATTTACTCATGAGCTGCACTGTGTGTGTGTGTGTGTGTGTTTTCTGCAGGCCATCGTGTTGGCTCACTGGTTACTGACAATCTGGTGAGAGTTATGGTGCATTTGCCTTTCTCGTTTCTGTTTTCTCACACTAACCTGAGGAATTTCACCATTAGTAAAACTTTATTATCCAGTTTTTAGTGCAACAGAAATGGAAATATATTTATTCTCCAGACTAAAAAATTCAAGCCTCTAAATATGTGTGTATATATAACATTTGAAGCCATTTTCATATTGTATTGTATTAATAAATTATGTAATAGATTAATTTTAATTAATTTTAATTGATCTCTTCTCTCAGTGTGGTACATTGTCTGTAGTAGCAGCTGGAGCTATGCTGGCTGCACAGGTCATGGAAATATGCTTTGCATTTAGGTGGTACTTGAAGCTTGAATGCTCCGACAGTAGAAAAATTGCTTATTATAAAATGTATGTATGGATCAGAGGACAATGAAGTGTTCAATTGCTCTATTTTTTTTAAATCACTTTATTGTTTTATTTATTTATTTATTTGAGCAAACTGAGTTATATTGACAGCCCTAATTAAAATATTAGTCTTAAAAGGTTTTAATCCATGTTTGTATGCAGGGCATGTTCGATCACCTGGCTTCCTACTTCTTACGTGTTGGGGAACGTGAGTGCTCTTGCAGTGGGAGTGTGGGCCATTGCACAGAGAGACTCCATAGACGCTGTATTAATGGTAGGTGTGACTTTTTTTATCCAAGAAGAACATGATTTTTAGGTCATGAAGGCTTAAAGACAAACATTTTATTCAATATTGATGACAGATGGGAAATCCACAGCTTGAGTCTTGCATAGCCAGAATTTTGACTATAAGGTCTGGTCCACATTACAGTTAACTGTCGGGATAAACCACCCTCTTAGACAGGAAAAGAGCATCTGACTGACGTGTAAAGCAAGAAATTCCAGTTTGTTTGTTTTTTGTGTGCCATTTAGGGGTGAGTTTATCTGAAATAGATTATGTGTAATGTGTATAATGTGTAATGCATAAAATTGTATTATACTTGTAACTTAGTTTGAATTAATCTGAATTAGTGTTCTTCCGGATACAAAAAATCTCTGTGTCCTCCTCCCCGGAAGTTGTCTAAAGCCAGCCAATCAGATTCGAGCTTATGAGATGGCCCATGAGCATGCTGAGATTAATTTTTGACCTTCTTATGTGTTTGTACATAGTATATTTGCCATACTAATATTTGATCTCTTCTCTCCTTCATTCAGTTCTTGATTGTGTTGGCAGTGACCATCCTGACTGACATTGTTCATTTTGGGCTGTACTATGCGGAGGTTGAAAGCCATTATGAGAGAAACCTGGACTTGTTCCGCTTTTGTGGGGGCATGGCCATCCTGAGCCTGCTGCTCAAACCTGTTTCCTGCGTCTTTGTCTACCAGATGTATCGTGAGCGGGGTGGCGAATACAACGTCAACTTCGGTAAGTGGGTGACCGAAGGCCCGGGGGAGAAAGAATAGAAGAAAGTGACTGATTAATTTTGATTATCTAATGATTAATTTAAAGTCTTTCCGTGAGGTTAAAATGCCAGCATTGTTTGCTTTGGTTTGTTTAAGCATTATTGAGTCTATTTTAGGCATTATAATTCCTAGCTCACTGATTGTGGAGCACAAGCAGAGTATTTCACTCAAAATGGCAAGCAAAATGAGTAAAAAGAGGAGCGTTTAATTGAGTTTTAGGGCTGGTCACAAGGCAGATGCCTGACAGAGCGGCCCACAGAAAAGACAAGAGACAGACAGCTTGACTGATCTCTGCAGTCTGAAAAAAAGGGCTTGGGCCTAAAAGGATCAAGCCAATTTAGACTGATTCCTTACTGTTAATTCTTTATTATCTGTGATCTTAGTATTTTAGCTGTTTTGTTGAGATCTTAATCCATTTATATAGTGTTAGGATTATTTCCCTAGGTCTTTTATTTACCCTGTAAAGTCTGACATATGAAATAATAGTCAGAAAAAAAACTAAAAAACTTGCATATGTTGCACAAAAATTACATTATTTTTTTTTTTGAGTATCATAGACCACTTGTATGAATACAGTATGATAAAAAACATGGACACCTCAGTTTTATTCAACTGAGCAAAAATATGAAATTTGACGTAAATATCAGTTGCTGATATTTATCTGGTCAAAAAGTAAGATGAAATTCAAATGGCTTGCAATGTAAATCAATGAGATCTTTATAACATGATAGCAGACCATTTACACAAAATGCATATAAATATCATTTGTCTCTCTATGGGCCCTATCATACAGGTGGCGCAATGCGGCGCCAGGCGCGACGCAAGTGGTTTTTGCTAGTTTCAGCCTGAGGCAGTTGTCATTTTCACATCCTGCGCCACGTTGTTTAAACCAGCAATAAATCTCAAGGTAATGTATTTATGTCTCATTATGTTTCATTCAGTATGTGTGTTGTACAGTGATATAAAAAAAATCCATTGCTAAATGATCCATCAAAACCTTAAAGATCAAAAGAAAAAGGTTGTTTTATTTAAAATATTTCTACACTTTTTATGATACAGGAAACATTACATTTGTTAAATAATTTAGCAGTAACTTAATTATCTATTACCTATTATCTATCTACCTATTATCCATTAAAGCAACTTTTTGTCAGTTTTGTTACATTATTTCCTCAGTTTTGCTTATTATTATAACCAGGAACCAATACAATTCTGAATGGATATAGTAGTGCTGTAAATACATTTATTTTATTCATTTTGGACAGAATCATTCTTTTGTATGGGCTCATATCCTCATCATTTTAGAAACGCATTGCATTTATTAAAGGTATTTGTATTTGTTCTGGGCACTGTGAACTTTAGAGATGCCCCAGATCATAGATATGTAAGCCCAAAAAGGCCCATGACTGAATGTTTACTGGGTTTGAGCCACCGCCTATGTCTAGGGAACAGATTTGTACATTTACTCATGAGCTGCACTGTGTGTGTGTGTGTGTGTGTTTTCTGCAGGCCATCGTGTTGGCTCACTGGTTACTGACAATCTGGTGAGAGTTATGGTGCATTTGCCTTTCTCGTTTCTGTTTTCTCACACTAACCTGAGGAATTTCACCATTAGTAAAACTTTATTATCCAGTTTTTAGTGCAACAGAAATGGAAATATATTTATTCTCCAGACTAAAAAATTCAAGCCTCTAAATATGTGTGTATATATAACATTTGAAGCCATTTTCATATTGTATTGTATTAATAAATTATGTAATAGATTAATTTTAATTAATTTTAATTGATCTCTTCTCTCAGTGTGGTACATTGTCTGTAGTAGCAGCTGGAGCTATGCTGGCTGCACAGGTCATGGAAATATGCTTTGCATTTAGGTGGTACTTGAAGCTTGAATGCTCCGACAGTAGAAAAATTGCTTATTATAAAATGTATGTATGGATCAGAGGACAATGAAGTGTTCAATTGCTCTATTTTTTTTAAATCACTTTATTGTTTTATTTATTTATTTATTTGAGCAAACTGAGTTATATTGACAGCCCTAATTAAAATATTAGTCTTAAAAGGTTTTAATCCATGTTTGTATGCAGGGCATGTTCGATCACCTGGCTTCCTACTTCTTACGTGTTGGGGAACGTGAGTGCTCTTGCAGTGGGAGTGTGGGCCATTGCACAGAGAGACTCCATAGACGCTGTATTAATGGTAGGTGTGACTTTTTTTATCCAAGAAGAACATGATTTTTAGGTCATGAAGGCTTAAAGACAAACATTTTATTCAATATTGATGACAGATGGGAAATCCACAGCTTGAGTCTTGCATAGCCAGAATTTTGACTATAAGGTCTGGTCCACATTACAGTTAACTGTCGGGATAAACCACCCTCTTAGACAGGAAAAGAGCATCTGACTGACGTGTAAAGCAAGAAATTCCAGTTTGTTTGTTTTTTGTGTGCCATTTAGGGGTGAGTTTATCTGAAATAGATTATGTGTAATGTGTATAATGTGTAATGCATAAAATTGTATTATACTTGTAACTTAGTTTGAATTAATCTGAATTAGTGTTCTTCCGGATACAAAAAATCTCTGTGTCCTCCTCCCCGGAAGTTGTCTAAAGCCAGCCAATCAGATTCGAGCTTATGAGATGGCCCATGAGCATGCTGAGATTAATTTTTGACCTTCTTATGTGTTTGTACATAGTATATTTGCCATACTAATATTTGATCTCTTCTCTCCTTCATTCAGTTCTTGATTGTGTTGGCAGTGACCATCCTGACTGACATTGTTCATTTTGGGCTGTACTATGCGGAGGTTGAAAGCCATTATGAGAGAAACCTGGACTTGTTCCGCTTTTGTGGGGGCATGGCCATCCTGAGCCTGCTGCTCAAACCTGTTTCCTGCGTCTTTGTCTACCAGATGTATCGTGAGCGGGGTGGCGAATACAACGTCAACTTCGGTAAGTGGGTGACCGAAGGCCCGGGGGAGAAAGAATAGAAGAAAGTGACTGATTAATTTTGATTATCTAATGATTAATTTAAAGTCTTTCCGTGAGGTTAAAATGCCAGCATTGTTTGCTTTGGTTTGTTTAAGCATTATTGAGTCTATTTTAGGCATTATAATTCCTAGCTCACTGATTGTGGAGCACAAGCAGAGTATTTCACTCAAAATGGCAAGCAAAATGAGTAAAAAGAGGAGCGTTTAATTGAGTTTTAGGGCTGGTCACAAGGCAGATGCCTGACAGAGCGGCCCACAGAAAAGACAAGAGACAGACAGCTTGACTGATCTCTGCAGTCTGAAAAAAAGGGCTTGGGCCTAAAAGGATCAAGCCAATTTAGACTGATTCCTTACTGTTAATTCTTTATTATCTGTGATCTTAGTATTTTAGCTGTTTTGTTGAGATCTTAATCCATTTATATAGTGTTAGGATTATTTCCCTAGGTCTTTTATTTACCCTGTAAAGTCTGACATATGAAATAATAGTCAGAAAAAAAACTAAAAAACTTGCATATGTTGCACAAAAATTACATTATTTTTTTTTTTGAGTATCATAGACCACTTGTATGAATACAGTATGATAAAAAACATGGACACCTCAGTTTTATTCAACTGAGCAAAAATATGAAATTTGACGTAAATATCAGTTGCTGATATTTCAAAAAGTAAAAAGTAAGATGAAATTCAAATGGCTTGCAATGTAAATCAATGAGATCTTTATAACATGACCATTTACACTAGTTTCAGCCTGAGGCAGTTGTCATTTTCACATCCTGCGCCACGTTGTTTAAATAGCAAATGCATTTGCGCTCATTTGTGTGCCCATGGGCATGCTGGTCTGAAAACGAGGTGTGTTCAGGTGCGTTACTGGCGTGTTGCTATTTTGAGGCAACTGAAATAGACTGCGCCATTGACCAACAAAAACCTTGTCTAAAGTCTGGCGTTAAATAGTTAAAGCTAAAGGTAAAGAGCATGAGTAATATGCGCCTATAGGCGTATGAACAACGCGTGTACACTTTGCTTATTACACACACAGGTATGTGCAGCAGCACACAAACATTTTTAAAAAGGATTAAAATGTAAAAGATTATTATTGTGTAGGCTACATAAATATAAAAATGCCTACATGTCATAGGCTAATGAATTGTCATTGCATGGATTTAGATCCGTTTCCTCTCTGGAGACGATTTCTGTCTTTGCGCTTGCAAATTCCGCCGTGTAAATAGCAAATTCGTGGCGCGAGTGCAACTGGCTCTTAAAGGGAATGGGAGATGAGACTCTGATTGGTTTATTGCACGTTATGCCCAAAACACACCCATTACTCATCAACAGAATAGGGACAACCCTTTTAGACCATGCGCCGGGCGCGCCGACCGTTTTTCCTGTCGTTAAACTAGCAAAAGTGGATTCGGACACGCCCTCAGTGCACCTACGCCGTGCGCTTTAGACCTTGTGCTTAGATCATTAAAATAGGGCCCTATATCTCCAAATAATATGTCTTAGAAGCAGGGGCGGACTTAGTGATTTGGGGCACCTAAGCAAATTTCAGGTATGGGGCCCCAACACAATAACTTTGTCTTCTTTTACATCTAACCCTTATTTTGCTCTCTCTCTCTCTCTCTCTCATAGTTTATAGTTTATTTACCTCTTGCCAACTTAAGTAAATAATTAGTCAACCTGATGGTGTTTTAAAGCCATATTAGTCTTATTTTTTGTCAGATCACAAAAGAAGACATTATCTTAAAAAAGCTTGCACTTGTCCATTTAATGAATTGTAACCTTCTTCAATCTTTTTACAAAAAGGATTCAAATAAAATTATCCCATGCAACTCGTTCTGTATCCCAAGTGTTCTTGAGGCATACGTTAGGGTTTGCCAAGAAACAAATTGAAAATGTTGTTGAGAATCAGCTCATGGGGAAATATGAATAATTAATCATAACTAGTTATAATTAATTATAAATATTTAGATCCGCT